TGGCTCGCGATGCCACTTACGATACACATGGCACTCATGAGGCATGCGATATACAGAATGCCACTTACGATACACATGGCACTCATGATACACAACATGGCATTCGCGATATACAGAATGGATACACATGCGATACACAACATGGCACATATACACAATACATGACACAACATGGCATTCACGATATACATGCTACGATACACAACATATGATACATTTCACGATATACATGCCACTTACGATACAGGACACAACATGGCACTCACGATATACACGATACAGATACACACATGCCACGATGAATGCCACTTACGATACAGATGACAACATGGCATTCACGATATACAGAATGCCACTTACGATACACATGCCACTCACGATATACAACATGCCACTCACGATATACAGAATGCCACTTACGATATACAGCACTACGAGATACACAACATGGCACTCACGATATACATGCCACTTACGATACAAGCAACATGCACCAGAATGCCACTTACGATACACATGGCAACATTCACGATATACATGCCACTTACGATACACAACATGCACTCATGAGCACGCCACTTCACTCACGATATACAACATGCCACTCACGACACACATGGCACTCACTATACACAACATAGCACTCACGATACACAGCATGGCACTCCCGCTAATAAAGTTCAAGCAGGCTGAGCAGTAGAAAACAAAATCGAATAAAGATGTTACAGAAATGGTACAGAAAATGTGCAATGTTGTTCTGGACTGCGTGGATTTTGTCACAATTTCGGCGCATAAGCTGAAAGTGTCTTTTTACTGCACAATTAAACATTAAAAGCAAAGCGACGTGCAGTGCGATTTAACCTCATTAAACTGTATATGAATATGATGCACGTAATATTATATTTTGTTTTGTTTTTGTTTTGTTTTTTATACTATTTTGTACCTCCACAACTAGTCTGAATTTCCACTGCAACTGAACAGACCAGCATTGGAACGAGCCATCATGATTAAGAGATGATAAATGATTGAACAGGAGGCTTAGATATGGTAGAAAATATATAATCAAACCAATATTTATTAGCAAAGGAAAAACGCAAGAAAGTGAAAACAATAAAGATAGGATCTGTAGATGAGCCAGAAAAAGTTGCAATAAAAGAAAAGTTACAAAGAGTGCAATAACACGGGCCAAAATATGCCTGCAATAACTCAATACACAAGACAAGAATAAAAGACAACAACGCCGCCAAAAGGTGATCAAAGAACTCCATTGTAATTATGAGCAAATACAAATGAAACCCAACTTTAGGAACAGACGTAGTTAGAATCAAATTCCAATATCTATGACAACATAGGTCCCAATAGTCATGAAAACAGGTTCCAATATATAAGGAAAAAGGAATAGAATTTAGTATTTTAACTAAGGGAAAAAGAACATAAAGAAAACGTTAGAGAGAAGAGCTCCAAGTCCCAGATTCATTTTGTGTTCATCACCACGAAACCTCATAACTGGACAAGAGTGAGAAACGACCGACAGGCAGGAAGACACGACCTAATCAATCTAACGTAAAAATTGGTGATTTTTACCCTGATTATCCGAATCCTCTCAAAGCCTCCCGTCTGTAAAAAAAGAGGCAGAAATCAATAATCTACTCATGGTTGTCAGCCTGATTTTTGCGCCAGTGCCATTTTTTTTTTTTTTTTTTTTTTTTTTTTTTTCTAGCGTGACATGTGATTACCTGTTTGATCAATACAGGCTCTAAAAGCGGATGGTCACCGGCGCCGCGCTAATACTCGAAATGCAGGCAGTAAGGTTTAATACAAAGAGACTGGCGCTGTAATTGTGGACCATGCCTTTCCGTGTGCGTTTAACCTGCCATAGTCACTTTCTTTTGAAATGATTTGCAACTGCACTGCACTTATTATACTTACAAACAGCGAGCTTATACTAGTATTGAATGTTAGAGCTGTCCATTTTCATTAGCAACACAGAAGGTATATTTTCGAAGAGTAAAAGAGAGATGCCGAGTAAATGAATAAATGGAACTGAAATTATCTTTCCTCTGGTGTTCAAAAATATCATCTGTTGCATAACTAGTCCCGCGTGCCACTGTGCGTCGCCATGAAACGATCACCGTTTTAGCAATTTGTTGGGTACCATTGTGGTTTTCAGTACTGCAGTGTGTGTCAGTTATAAGCGCTTGTGATTTAGGTCGATTGTGGTATCGTGTAGTATATATTATTTGTGTAAGCCTCTGTGTTTAAATTAGAGATTACGTATTACAAAGCATAATGAGTGTTATGTTCGTATCTGGCTTTGCGTTCCTGCGGGAATGTAAACAGTGGCTCAGGCCGCCCAGTCAGTGTTGTCTCCCCGTCACACCGCGTCGCCCTCTGCTGCGGGGCCGATCCCACAAGGAAAAGTGATTCAGATGTCACTCGAGTCTTATCAATGGTTCCATTTAGTGTCCTGGGGAAATCATGGTACCTACTGACGTCTCAGCGGCGGCAGCGGTCCAGGCGCTGTTCGGCACCGCGGAACGAGCAATACAGAGCTTACCAGGAGCCAGCTGATGGCGGTGACATCGCCTCGGGTGGAGAACCCAGCGACGACGTTGCGGATGGTTCGCCCGACCTTCTTGATCTCATGCTGTAACTGTGTGTAAAGCCTTTAGTCCTAGTGATTTAGCATGCGCTTAGTTTACCAAGGAAATGTGTTACGTAGTCAAACCTTCAAGAAGACTGATTCTTGTGTTGGTTTCACACACTCTGAGCTGGGTGGAAACTTTCTGTTGGTACATTCGAGGCAGACACAAAGTAATCAGTACCCCGAACGTGCGCATGTGAAGTACGTTGGCGTTGCAGCTATCAACAGGCAATAAAATCTGTGGCGAGTAACAGAAGTGTACCTCAAGTTCCAGTACGTTAAGTGTGCAAAGTGGAAATCCTTTTGGTTTAAGAAGACTGTCAATGCCGAGGATTGTATGTTCTGAGAAATATTAAAACCTTCCTGAAGATGCTTTCGGTTTCGACTTTCCACAGTTTGATGACGTTCACCACAGCCTTTCACTAGTTCTTTTTTGGGGTCTTCTGGTCTGTCACTACGTTTTAGTTTTTCCCTTTTCTTTTCCTTTCACAAAGCGTCTCTTCTTTTTATATCTAGTTTCTCAAGTCTGTGCCTTTTCCTGTACTTATTCTGCCTCTTCGCTGTTGTCAGTTCTTTGCCTTAGATTTTACCTTGCACGTCTAAACCAATATATATTATAAACACAGTTTGCCGAAACTCATGTAGGAGATGTGCAGATGTGTGTTATGCTCGCGTGCTCTTGTATTCATGTTTGTAAGTGCGTTTGTATGCGCACGCAAGTACTTCTGTGATTATAAATGTTACTGGAGTTTTTTTTCAGTAGAGCTTAGGGCATTTCAACACAACCAAGGTAGTCATGTATACCTAAATATGGTTTCTGTTCTTTGTGATTTTTAATGGGCATTCATAATAGATGGATGACGTTTGTATTATTCCAGATTCGGGTTTTGTAAATTTTCATTCATATTTGACATAATATGACAAAATGATTGTTATATTTGTTCGGAAAATAGAGACGGCTTGTTGCCTCTACAAAGCAGGGACAAAATTAAATAGCTTAAAAAGGTGTATAGATATTTATTAGACTTTGAAAATCAAATATATTAGCACGGCACACACACACACACACACACACACACACACACACACACACACACACACACACACACACACACACACACACACACACACACACTCACACACACTCACACACACTCACTCACTCACTCACACACACACACACACACACACACACACACACACACACACACACACACA